CTTCAAGTCTGTACTTAGTTCTACAGATTCATCTGGAGGAGCAGGCTGTAAAAGGCGAAAATAAAAAAGCACAGGAAAAATGAAGATTATAAAATAAAAATAACAACGACAAGAAAGCTATTTCTAGTAAGCCATTATTTATCGCCTTTAGGGAGCTGGAGGATTTGAGGAGGATCACATGGTTTTCTGGGGGAAAATAGTTTAGTTTTCGCTAACAGTCATCGGCTACTATAGAGCCTATAGCTAAGATAAGTTAAATTTTATCCTGACACAAACAAACTATTACTCTTCTCCAATCCCCCCTCCCCCTTACCGTCCCTGGCTATTAATAGCGACTGTTTCCAAGATCTTAAATATCTTAAGTGCAGTATTGATATACGAGCTTAGCGATGGAAGAATGTTGGCTTCAGATGAGTAGTGAATACGTAAGGTTTTCGTCAGGACCACTTGCTCTCCCCCTGGTTTTTCACTGATAACAAGAGCATCAAATAAAAATTCAATTTACAGAGTCAGTATCAAGCAGGCTGTCTCTATATTTTTAAAAATTAATCTCACTCACATCAAGTGTCTTTGTCGAGTTGGGTATCATGTGAAATATATAGCTCTTGTGCTGATTGATGTAATCCCTACATCTCTGTTCCACATTCACTGCTGCTCCCGACAGAACAACTCCATAACCGAATGGCCTGTCCAAAATCTCCTTTACATATATTTTGTCGTTGAAAAGCTCGTCCTTGTGTTCTGCAGCAACGTAGGTGTCTATAAGAGCACCCTCGATTTCTCCATTCTCGAGCGCTGTTCGGATTTGTTCTAAATTTTTGTAGTTATTTTCTGTGGATAAGCAATGATATAACTATTACTAGCATCCGCTCGGCCTCTTTTCAAGTTATAACCCGAAGAACTATAAACAGGCTATCGCAACCTTTAACTAAGTCTCGAAGGGGAGCGCGGATTACTAAATTTTGTTTTCTTTTGTTTTGTGATTGGTCATTGAGGATAACGCGTTCCATCATCTCAGCCGAGCAGATGTAAAACTAAGGCGAATTGTTACTTTTTGCTTGTTTCTGTTTTGTTTTTGTTTTGTTTTCTCTCTCGTGCTTTTACCTTTCTAACGCGCGTGCAAGTTGTCTTTCTCAAAAGGCTATGAGCCCCATCCAGATTTATAACATAACCAAAGTAAAGCGCGCGCTTTGATTGGCAAATTTAGCGTCTCCCATTTGCCCATGGGTGTACGCTGCTGACGTGAGCAAATGCAAAGAATATATTTTTCCGCGCGCGCTTGTTTTTTTTCTGGTCGCGTAAGATTTATTAAATAAAAGGGAACTCTTTAGCTACAATGTGTTAATGTTATGTTATAAAACAAATGGTAAACACCATAGCGTACACTACTGAGTTATGGATGCACTTGGGAGGTTTGCGAAGCACTCGAGAAGCTAGAGTCGCTCTCGGCTATCGCCTCGAGCGACTCTTACGCTTCTTTCGTGCTTAGCAACCTCCCGCGTGCATCCATAACTCAATAGTGTACGCTGTGGTGTTTACCATTTGTTAAATACACCTAAATTATCTTAATGATCTGTGGGGATTCACATTTTTACCTTCGTTTACCCTTGCATTCTTCAGGATGCCGATTCGATGTTCTGTGGAGTTCTGAATTGCTCCAACCTGAGAAAGATCAGTTAAATTCTATCGCGACACAAACAAATTACTCCTCTACCTTCCCCCCCGTCTCCTCTCCCTCCCCC